ATTCATGATCTGCACCACAGGAAGTGAATGAATATTAAAGAGACAATCATAAGCTCAGGGAAAATTACAAAATGCTGTGACCAAAGTAACATTTGCTCCGGTTAAAGATCAAAAAGAGGCAGATGAGAACTAATGAAAATACAGGGACCAGTGAGATTAAAGGCAGCATTTAGAAGATTTAACACAGCTTGTGAATGACATTGTTGGACTTTCAAGAAATATATTCAAGTCAAAATGCCCTAATGTGGTATTGTAAAGGGTTTACAAAACTCATTTGAAACCTTCCAAAATAATCTCAATAACATCAAACATCTGTGACATTAAAATCTGCAATATGACAGCATGGTAATAGTTATTAAGTAATAGTTAGTAAGTAATAGTTATGGTAATCAGCACTTTCAGTCTAAAAGCAGACAGAAGTGAATGAGAAAGCACTTGAAATAGTGACTGTAAAACAACAAGCTACTGTACGGGAGCACTGGACAGCTGAAATGGAGTAAAAGCTTTTTAGTACACAACAAATATGACTTTATGTACAATGCCAGTCCTGGAACAGCTGATGCTTAGACTAATGTTAGCTAACATACTTATTTTTGACAACTATAACTGCACACAGTCCCAGCATCACTTCTCACTAAAGCTGCATCCTTCCAACCACTTTCATCCAAACTTCAGCCTTCTGATTTTACTGTTTCTTACTGCAGCAAGCTGTGGCACCAAAGTCTCCATTATTGTTTACATCTGTATTGGTCTGAGATAATGCTAAGCTCAATGTTCTGTAGTGTGTGTGTTGCATTGCTTTCAATTATGCTGTGTGTGCTTTTTCAAAAAAATAAAAACTATAATAAGATTTTAAATCCTTGTTGGACTGCTTTACAAAGTAACGTGTTACTGTGCTAAATTAATAATCACATTTCTGTTACAATTATGCCAATATTAATCACAAATGATCTTCAGTTGTCTGCATGATAGGTAGCAAAAAAAAAATGAAACAGCTGCATTATACTAACACAAAATGGGCTCATTGCAAACATCTGCACAGACAGAATACTATAACAGTAGGTGAAGAACCCAGAGTGATGTTTAGTCTGTCTGTATGCAGACCCGAGCACAGCGGCCACAGCCCGACCTTCAACAGGTAACAAAGTCAGTGGTGAGTGACTTTGACACAGCCAACATATTGCAGCCTCCATTTTTACATAGTTCAACTGTAGAATTGCTGTGGCAACAACTTTGCTACATCAGAGTTGTTGCCACACCCATTTGCTCATAGGGGGTCATATGATTGTTGGGTTTTTCTGTGTATGTATTACTGTAGGGTCTACCTTACAATATAAAGCGCCTTGAGGTGACTGTTTTTTGTGATTTGGCGCTGTATAAATAAATAAATTGAAGTTAGGGCTGGGCGATATGGCCTAAAATCCATATCGCGATATAATTTGAAACACGTGCTATAACGATATATATCGCGATATATTCTTTTCTTCTGTATAACGTATTTTCCACACTATAAGGCACACTTAAAATCCTTTAATTTTCTCAAAAATCGAGAGTGTGCCTTATGTATGAATTCTGGTTGTGCTTACTGACCTCGAACCGATTTCTGCGTGCAGAAATCTGTTAAAAAATGTTTTAGTACAACTTTGGTAAGCCGCACTGCTTGATGGATTGTCAGAGCATTACGGCTGCCGTAGTGAGGAGCTTCGCGGAATAATCTGGGTCCAAAACTCCGTCTGTTTCAGGTCCCAAAGTCAAACGAACACTGAGAGTTAAAAACGGTCTAAATTCTTTCATCCTTAATAAAATCATCAGTGTTGCTGCTTTACCAGGTGTAACAATTAAGTTTAACATCCATGCGTCCATGAAAACAGAATTTATTAAATTTAAAGGAGTTACAAGTTAACAGGAAGTTAGCTCGCTAGTTTCCACCTAAACATGACATACCATGTTCTGACTGAGAGATTTTTGAAATGAATTAAAACGTACAGCTCTGCTACCACTTCCAACATAAATGAAGACAGAAAACTAAACAGCAGTGGCGTTTGCAGAGTTACTGAAGTTGGACTACCTGGTATATAATGTTGTGCTATGTGATTGCTAGCAACACAGCTATGTTAGCATAACATTAGCACAGTGAAGCTGGAGGATGAACGGCAACTTTTTTCCACTCGATAAAAGTTAACGTGAGGGATTCTGGTGGTCAGGGACAAATGCAATCGCATAGCAGGATGCTATACACGGGCCAAACTTCAGTCAGGAGAACAACTGAGATCATTCATCCACATTACGAGGTTAGTTATTAATATACTGCAACAACATGGGAATAGAACAGCTGCGAGGGAATTCAACATTAATGAATCAATGTTACGGAAGTGGAGGAAGTGCAGTTTTTGGCTTTCCCCATATTTCAAAAGTGCTTCATCTCTTTGCTATGACTGTCGCCCGGCATAATTTGCAGATGATAATGGTTGTAACCGCTGCGATGCTTTCGACCAAAACAGGCGCAGCTTGATGACATCATCAACATGCGCTATCGCGGTAGAGCGATATAGTCAAAATATCTATCGTTGGCCATATTTATATCGTTTCTATCGTATATTGTTTATATCGCCCACCCCTAATTGAAATTGAATTGAAAGTTAAATTGAAATCTCTTTGGGCTGGTTTTCAACGTTTATATTCAAACTTAAACACTAAAAGAAAGATTGTAAGCATGTTCTCATTGGGATAGGCATTTGATTCGGCATGTGGCTGTAGGCTTACATTGTTAACTTGTAATAACATGATAGTGCGCTTTAGGTTATGTTAAAGAGTGACGCACAAATAATGTCACATGAAGCGTAAAAAATTACTGCCTCTAGGGAGTAATTAAATAATGTAATGCATTAGTTTTCTTTTAATAATTATCTCAGTGCAGAAAAGAAAAGGGACTAAGAGTTTAATAGATAAACACCAGCGTACACTTTAAGTCTTACTTTTGATGTACAGAAAAGGACCTACATAAGAAAAGAAAAGAGCTAATTCGTGAGCAGAAATGTTACAGTATAAGTCAGTATACAGTAGTCAATATGTGTCAGTGAGGACTAGAGTGTCAAACTGCTGTGGAAACGTACCTGCACGCCGTCAAAGAGCAGAGCTAATTTGGAGCTTTGTGTTCTTGTTCTGCTTACATGTCATTACTTTTCTTTTTGCAACCTGCCAAAACCAAAACTAAAGTTTTCAACATTTAAAATGTCCATTGTGCTTCATTCTCTTCCCACTCTTTGCGCAGCATCGATTGTTGTTCCCTCAAAGTCCCAGATCAGAAAAGAGTAGTAAAAAGCAAAAGAGACCAGAAGCCAAACTTGCATTAAAAGAAAAGACACATCTTCAGAGACACAACTCTTCTTCTGAGATGAGGTCAAAGGTCAACCTGAATGGGCAGGAATTTAGCTTGGCTGCATTTAATTAAGCACAAATTTCTAACTGTCCCTCTACCTAAAACTCGTCAGCTCAGCTGTCTTCATTGGTTTTCACTTTTTAAATTTAATTGCGCTTATATTCTTAAGGCTCATATTTTAGGAGATTCACAGTTTGCTTTACGCAGTTATTGCCCCCCTCAATATCTCAAATGTGTTTTCTTTGCCAATACTTGACATCCCAAGTTATTACATCATCACAAATGAGCCAATTTACCTATGAGAAATCCCTGGTTGCACTGTATCGAGTATACAGAGACAACTAATACTAGGTTATTTTGATGCTTAAGAAACCCTGAAATTTATCATGATTCTCAGGAAAGTTAATTGGGATGTCTTTCTAATGATTTCTAAGAAAATCAGCATTTGTTTATTTAGACAAGCATCTGCCTGAGAGACTACAAAGGTACTTATGCAATAACTGTAATTTGTTTTTAACCTGAGACACGGTGAGGGCCGTACACATTTCTTCTCCATTTTTATCTTCAATTCTGGTTTCATTTTCAGTCTCAACTGTCAGCGTTATGTGACCTTCTTTTCTTTAGACTGCATTGATTGTACGGTTCTTACATTAAAAAATATCCAATAATATGTGTGTCATTGAATCTGGGTAAAAATCTGTTCAAAGCAAACCCTAATGCAAACAGTAGCTGTAAGTACCCCTCAGTGGTGTTCTGCAGTGACATGTAGGCCACGTTTCCATGAAATGCCCCTTTTCTCACATGGGAATTCCCATAATGAGAAACAAAACCAGCTGGACGCAGGTGTTCTCTATAAACCCAATACATTATGCCACAGGGCTTCCCTGTCTCCCCCTCCTCTACTTCTTTGTCCACATTCACCCCCTCCTTCTCTCCATTTCCTCTATCTCCTCTGTCTTCACTGACACATAACTCATTAACTCCATCTTCCTAAATCTACCTTTGTCTCCGCATACTGGTCTTAAACCATCTTCTTATTCTCTTTTGCATATACACAGAGGAATACCCAGTCTTCTTTTTTTATTATCCTCGCTTGTTACCTTGCTTCTCCACCTTCATCATCTCTTCCTTTTGGTCCTGCACAGCCCTGTTTTTCTTCTGTATTTATTTTGCATTATCCTCATCCTTTCAACAGCACAATATTACTAACATTAGGAATATGCTGTCTTGAAATAATGCTGAAAAACTCCCTTTATCATTTTTACTACTGTAATTTTGTATAATCAGGTTGTCCCAGAAGCCCCTTTTAAAGTTTCCGGTTGATCCAAAAATTAAGGAAAGCTAAGAACTAATAGAAATTAGAAAGAGGGAATGTATTTCATCCCTGTTAAAGGCAGAATTAAGTTTAAAATTCTTTGCCTGAAGTACAGGCAGTACCGGAATGATCAGGCTGCACCATGTCTGAAAGACATCAGACATATTATCCCAAAAGTGCATTTAATTTTAAAAATATACAGACTAAGTCTTTCCTTCTCCAATCTCTGCCACTGCTCCACACATGCAGCGTTTACTAAAATGAACTAATGAGTAAAAGGGGAAGCAGTCCCATTTGCCACTTTACCTTTTTCGCAAGTAGCGCCACCATAACTGGGCAGACAAAGACACACAAAAGAGTTGATCTCATCGATGCAGGTTCCTCCGTTCTGACATGGATTCGACTGGCAGTCATCAATGTCTGCAGGGAGAGAGAGAACATGAGGAGGTGAGTGAGATTAGACAGAAACATAGACGTATAAACAGCACTTTCCAAATGGCTACTCTTCTAAACTACCTGCCACAACTTGTTATTGAAAAGAAAAAAAAAACCCTGAGAGATCAAACTTTTGCAGAGATTAGAGCTGTTTCTGAGAAAGTTATAATTAAAGCAAATTGATTGAACTTCATCAGCGAGCGGTTTGGGATGCACTGAAGCGCATGATGCTAATTGCAATGTGTTTGCAGGACGTGCCGCAGTTCTGCTGTCAAACTTGAGCCAAAAGCGAGAGGGAGAGTACGGTGGAAGCTATGAAGAGAGACAAAGCGGCATGGAGGAAAACGGAGAAAAACACTTAAAATGAACTTCCAGCTTCAGCAACAACACTGCTCCCACTCAAAAGTTATCTCGCTAGCAGCTATGAAAACATGTATAATAATGCAATTTAAAATTTCTCAAAGTGACCAGAAACAAAATGCCGAAGCCATCGCTTAGATGTGATATTAAAACAAGTTTAGATGTTTGTGCACACGCATATCCAAATTCACACATATTTCACAGAGGCGTTGCCCGGGTGAGAGTTCCCATTCTGTTGAAAAATGGTAGCTGTATTTCTCTGGCTGATCTGTGCCTGGGGGCAAAATCATTAAAACTGCAGCTGGTATCCCACAGTCCACTGCCATCACAACAACTGAGTGAATCCCTGGAGCTTTGGCAAGAGGTCACAGGAGGGGAGGAAAGGTGAAGGGAGAGGATGGAGGCAGCGGAAAGACAGAAGACTGAGGGAAGATGAGAGGATAAAGAAATACTGACAAACATGGAGAGGAGCAGAGTTAGGAAGGAGAGGTGATGAAAACAAGGCTGGGTGGAGAAAGCCATTCGGAGAGGTGATACGATTCTGTGAGTCTAGGAAGTTGGCAAGTTTCAGGGTTGGATTACAGCGGCTTTGCAGGCAGACTCTGTTTGGGGCGGAAGAGTCTGTTTGGATAAAACAGCATGACAGCTTCATTGCTGGTGCCCCGCTTTGGGCTGGCTGGTATCAAAAGCTGAATTTGATGCAGGAGGTAGAGACCCAGCCAGAGGAACCGGAATGAGATGCTCGGTTTAGTGTATCACTGGAAATCCGTGTATCACTGGAAATCCGTGTATAACTGCGTCTGTCTGTCTGAGTCACGACGGGGTGGAAAAAGAAAGTACACGAAGAAGCAAAATAACAAAGCAGAGATACGCAGAGAGTAAACACTTCCCACACCATTAAAATGAGCTTTAGGTCTGGCACAGATAATCTGACATTATAAGTGGGTGGCTGGTCCAAATTTTAAGGGGCAGTGAATGGAAAGGCTTTATCATTCTTTGGCTTTAAAGCAGCACATCGTTTATTTTTGTATCCTAAATGCTCAGGAACTTTTGCTCAGGAAGAAGTTTGATATGTAAAAGCTTATTATAAGTGCATATGAGGGCAAATTTCACTGAAATAAAAAAAACTGATGTCACAGTGATGTCAACAGAGTTGTCTTGGCTCAGCTCTTTTGCTTAAATTGCATTCAAATTGGAGGTTTGATCTTTTAAAACAAACAAACAAACACACCAGTGTCACTGGATTGTAGTTCCATATATGGGAAAGCGAAAACCTATTCCGATCGATTCCTGGTGAAGTATTGCAAAGAGTTATCAGAGTTAGTTGTTATACAATTGATTTTACTGTGCCAGTAATCAAACTATACTATCATCGCTCATATTCACCGTTTTTGGTTTGAATCTGTCTTTTATGACTCTCACAATCTTTAGAAAGTGCAACACTAAACAGCTGGAGACTGCAGCAGGATTGTTAAATGCTTTATAAACTGCTAAACAGGATAGGACGGATCGATACTAATAACCCGAATGGCATGTGAAGTACTGGACTAGCAATGCAACCTATGTTCAAGGTTCAAGGTTATTAGCTGTCAAATAACTTAATGTGAAATCAATAAAGTTCAAATTAACAGCAAGTACCCACAGCCACATATGCTTCAGAGAAATGATGATATACAATAAGATACTACAATGAAAGCCTCAAAGTATAATGATACAATATTACTGTATAGTCCTCTACTAAAAAAAAAAAGAAAAGTTTATTTATATCTGGCTTGCTTTTACTGCATTGGCAGTGTGTTTTGGATGGCTGCTAAAAATAAAGCTGTTGAATTCATGGTGGATCAAAATCTGAAGAATGGCTTCTTGACAGCCACCCTTCCACTGAGACCATTTCTGATGAGGCTTCATTGAACACTAGCGCGATCAACTAAAGCACCAGATTTATATCTTCGGCCCCGTGTCAGGTCTCAATTGGATTTTTTGGGGGCTTTCAAATACTGTTTATCTGTTGCAGATTTTTCTTTTTTTTAGGCTTGCCGCATCTTTTTTCTTTTTTGTCCTCCAGTTTCCAAGTGTCCAGTTTCCTCTGATTTTTTAAGAACACACTGCACAGTGTACTGAGATATGGTAAATTTTTAAGCTATTAGCTCTTTGGGAATTATCTTACAATTTAACAGTATGTCTGTAAAAGTGTGTTCTCGCTGGCATTTGTTTGCCCCTGGACCAAAGTGAAGGACTCGACTGAAGATGAGTGAAAAAGTGACCAAAGTCCAGCTTGGAAAAGCCCAGAGAACTATTGTTCAAAACCACATTTAAAAAATTAACGCTGTCTCCTTAGAAGCCAAAATATTAATAAATGAGGGGTGATTCAAGACTTCTGCACATTATTGTAAATGTGAGTTAAACAGACAAACAAAAAGTCAGCAGCTCTCTCTTTGCTTTCGCTGTATGAGATAGCAATACGCACAAGGCCTCAGCCATTGTGAACGGCAAGATAGTGAAATCAGTCATAAAGTAGACAGGGCCAACTCTCAGTGTAACACTCAGAAAGTTGATTCTGTTCATCTCGATGAACACATTCAACACTGGATCACTCATTTAAGTCACCTGGATGAGTGACAAACGTTTCTTCCAACGCTACATCCAGATGAACAGAATAAGCTTTCCTGGATTTCATTACCTGGATGATTGAGCATGCATCAAGATATTTCAGTGAAACAGAAATTCAAAAGGCAAACCATTTGCTGTATCATAAGAGAAAATACAGGCAAAATGAAAGAAATGTTACAGCAGTATCTCTGTGCCTTTTCCTTCATCACTACAATATAATACCCAAAAGTAAACGTGTCAGGGCTCTGTGTGCGGGCA